CGTAACAAAAAGGACCTGCCAAACGTTGGCACAAATTTCTTGGCTATGATGGGTGTAAAGTTGATTAATAAGGTGGATTTTGAAGTAAGCTAGAGTATTCCAGAAGTTCCGTTCAAAAAGGCCATTATTTTTGCACTAGAGGATATAAAGCTCACAACCTTGACATTGTGCCTTGCCTGGACATTCTTCACGGAAGATTCCGTAAACATCGTTGACGTCATGTGTGCTAGTTTTGAGACATGAAAATAGAAACTATGAGAGGAAAAAAATAAATGAGTTCAACAACAAAGGATAGAACTTAAGTACCTCTCCACCCGAGTCCACCGAAACTAATGGAATTCCAGCTGCAGAGAACGAAGCACTTGAATCCGTTTGGTTGGTTGCAAACGTAGTTGCATCGGTGAGATCTTCAGCTGCAAAATGTTAGCACCCCACAGTTATTATTGTGTAATGGTCATAACAAATCCAAAACACTCCAGAAATCTTACTACGATTGTACGGAGTTGAAGTGATGAAACTGCGTTGTTGAGGAACCCTCCCTGTAATTGGGGTGCGAAATGGATCATGAGTCACATCGTTGATGCTAGAACAAACAAAGCTTACAAGACCAGGAAGATAACTGATTGAAGTGAAGACTTCAGTATAATAGAAAAAAGAATCGATAACTATACATGGACAAGTTATGAAGTTCGTGTATAGAAAACAAAAGGTAATTCGGTTTCTAAAACAAAACAATGTATTTGGTAAAAATACGATACCAGCGCACCATTCAGCATTACTGCATTTTTTACCGAAACCTTAAGATTATCTACTAGCAAGCAAGGAACCCAAAATAGACTGGTTCCCTAACTCCTCCTTACGTTCCTTTAGAAAGTACTTTAAAAACCACTCTTTGGTGGCAAAATCGGAAATTTCGTATTCAATCTAGATGTACTGCTTGCACATATCTATAAATTATCTACAAAGTATGTTGTAAATATTGAACCGGGAGGATCGAGTTGGAAATCTGAAGAGCACCAGTTCTTTATTAATAATATTTTCCGTGCCATTTCTGAATAATGCATGTAAAATAATTGGGTAGTTTGTCCTCAGCCCTCTTGGTATTATCCTTAAGGGTTTGCATTGTTCCAAGTTAACGCGAAATTAACTAGTATAACCACTTTAAGTTCTACAAACTACCGGAAGATTGGTCCACAATCAACAGCATCAAAAAGTCACATCTTAAAAGAAAACAGAAAGTTAATAACACTTTGACGATATCATGGACCTCATGACGTCATCATGTCTACGGGTTTACAATTATTTAAAAAAAAACAACGAAAAGCGCCTGCTGGCACTGCTGTTGAACGAAAAACCGAAAAAAGAGCACTTCTAGAAGTAAGACTAACCTCGTAGGACGATTTGAAATATTTGCAATCTTAGCTCTAAGCTGCACTACTTCTTCGCATTTCTTTTTATATTCAACTTTGAAGCGTTGAAGGTCTCTAGAATACGTATTTGAGACGAATTTAACAAGTAGACAGGTCAAGTGCATGATGGTCTGCAAAATCACTCCAGTAAACTTAAATACTCACTGCTTGTACTGGTTCTTCTTCTTCGTTTCGTCCCTGCATAACTGCTGTAACTTCCCGAAATTGCAACTCTGTAGCACATGAGAGTCATCACAGCAGTTAAAAAAAGATTCAGTTCTAAACGAATCTATAAGAAACTACGAAAACACACACTCAAAACCACTTGAAGTCTCATCAACCACTGTGAGTGTGACTTAGTTAGAAGACCTTGTGGTTTCAATACCATTCACCTTTCAAGAGATGAGCAAGTATCTCATTCTCTACACAAGATATAACGGGGACACTATTGGCGTTTGGGTTACTTGAAATGAACAGTGGTCACCGTGTAGGTGGCCAACTTACTGTTCGTCTCACATCCAAAGAATCGTCGTGTACAAAGTTGGAACTTCCTTATTATCCACGTTCTAGAAAACCACTTATGCTTCAACATAATGGATGTCTTTTCTTATGTCGATGTTTGCCTATGTGGCATCCTGGAATTGTGGAACAATGGTTAACTTCGCCACCGTACTTACATGAACATACGTGCCAAACTCTTCCAAAAGTCAGGCATTTTCGCACGGTTGTTCTTCGCCTAACGTAGTGCACACCCTGGCCAGTATTACATCTGTGAAGAACGCTTAGAGTACGGATACAAACGGAATTGTCAGCAACGTCGTATACTTTTACTCCAAGTGGATACCTCGCATTTTAAATAATAATCCAATAAGACACTATTCGTTAGGCAAGGTAGTAGCAGTGATTCGTTTTTAGATGTACGGAGCAATACTTTCCGCGATAAATGGGACTTCTCTAATATCTAATTTATAATCCAATGTCGAACTTAATTAAACGTCGATCCTGGTAACTCTTCCTCTCTGAATTGTGGAAGTTGAAAGACAACATATCCGTAAAAGATAAGTAAAATGTGGTCATCGTGACTTTGTAGAGGACGGATTTTCTACGGCTATTTACTCCTTCCATGTTTACGATTCCCTCAAAATTTTCCAAAAATGGTTGCCCAAAGGTTTCGTACCTTTATTAAAAGTTACTAGGACAATAAAAAAGAAAAAAATAATGGAAGTGAAACACACCTTCAATTGCAGGTGTCGGATGAGCCTTTGTCTATGGCAATTCTGGAAATCGAAAGTATACCCAACATCTCTAGCTATTTTTGAAAAACCAGTAGCTAACGGTGTGAACAGATCACGAAGCTGAAAAGAAAAACTTTAAAGACCTAAGATGTGAAGAATCACAACAAGTGTGCTAATCGAATATCCATTTGCAGATGTCATTAATAAGCATAATTCATTTAGTGCTTAGAAACAGCGGTTGCTCGCCCGATAGGAAAACCATTGTTTGGAAGGAAGTGAAATTTAACTTTCTCCAATTCAAATTGGGCTAACCATTGAAGTATACCTCTATAGCGTGAATAATCGATGATCGAGAATCGAGAATAATCGAGAACAACAATCGATGGAATATGAACGAAGACGTTTCTTATGCTGTGATTCTTTTTAAATAAGGTACATGTACTTTGCGTGAAGAGCTGAACAGCAATTACATGTGACTTTGAAAACGGTGAATTAATAAATGACTGTACATAAATATTGCAGTCATAGCGGCGCATGTAGCGGAGTGGCCACAGACGCCATTCAATACACATGGAATCGATTCCCGCGCCCATGGTCCACCAAGCTTTCCATCCCTCCGGGCTCTGCAAATTGGTACTAGACTTGTCTCGGAGGATAGCAGCACTGGCTCGATACATCAGTAACCCACCGCTAGTCATTGTAAAGGCCAGATATGCATTCAACCACCTCAACGATGCTTAGTGAAGTCGAACGCATGGCCAATCCCTCAGGATTGATCAACGCCGAGCTTTGTTCTTTGTTTTTATTTACTATACGGACAGCTGCTTGAAAGGGTTGATTCAATACGCAACGAAAAACCTGGCACAGAACAATAAGCTACTGTCAGAAAGTTCGGAAACAGCGTTATCCGCAAATTTCTGGACAAGATGGCACTAGGAGTGCAGTAAAATCTCCATTGATTCTTGGTCTAATGCTTGTTTTCACTTATCATTTGGATTAAATTTAGTGGTTTGTCAGCTATAATAGCAGAATCTTAACCTTTTATTTAATGCTTTTTTCTTCTTAATGGCAGGGTATGTTGCGAAATATAACTCGTATATAATGCTGAGATATTTGCAAAACTCCGGACCGCAGGTGTATGCTGTGGAGAACGAACGCGCGCTATTGTCCTTACCGGGGAGTAGCGCACTTCACCACCACACCATCCGGGTCTATAACTTAGTGAAGTCGAACGCATGGCCGACCCGGATGGTGTGGTGGTGAAGTGCGCTACTGCCCGGAAAGGACAACAGAGCGCGTTCGTTCCCCACCGCATACACCTGCGGTCCGGAGTTTTGCAAATATCTCAGCATTATGTACGAGTTATAATAGCAGAGTAACAACTAGTAACTAGACATGGAAAATGTTGAACTGTTATTAATACAACCTTATTCTATTTGTTATCAAAACAATAGTTTTCAAACCGACTGCCATATAACCTCGGTGGTAAAATAATCAACTTGTATAAATTACTGAGCTTACAAAAGGTTAGTAATAAGGTCTATTCGGCTAACGTTTCGACGTCTTTATTGATCCACAGTTGCCCGTCTTCTCGATGTTGCGTCTTCGTCTTCCTAAGAAAAAAAGAGCTCTACCGGGTGCTACCGAGTGAGCATGCATTCATTACAGCGATATTCCACTAGTGATCCGTCTTGGTACGACAACGAAGAGCCCACATCGAGAAGACGAACAACTGTGAATCACCGATACGGATCATCGGCTCTGATGAAGAAGAAGACGTCGAAACGTTAGCCGAATAAATATCTTTATCTCAACTCGTGTGAGCTCAACAATTGAAACGAGCTAACTATTTGTTAGCGTTCGAAAGAGATTCGAAACAACTTTACTCACTAAAAAGCATCATAAGAAGTGAATTCTTAACGCTGTTATAACAGAACTCCTTTTTCTGCACATAAGACCGTTAAGGAAAGTAAGCATACAGTAAGCCTAACACACAAATGGTACAGCTACCCTTACCTCTGGATTGAGATTTCTGTTTATCTCTAATATTTGAGGATTGTCTTTCTGGCAGATTTTGCACTTCAGCGTCATCGAACCTAAAGAGAACTTCGATTGAGAATATTATGACAAAGCGATCAAATCACTGTATTACTTACTAAAAAATGCTTGAGAACAGTTCTTTCCAGATGCTCCAGGACCACTACCTAATGCTTCCGTTGCAATCTTCTATGTCATACTCTAACAACACAACTAGTAACTATCTTAATTTACAATAATCAGTTAACAGGCCACACACGATCAGGTCACTGTAACCAATCATTTTCCCGAAGTTACGGATCTAATTTGCCGACTTCGCTTACCTATCGACCAGGTTGTTCACCTTGGAGACCTGATACGAATATCCGTACGACGTAGCACAGATTAATAGCCTTCGTTGATTTTTCAAGCACCTTCCAGAGAACATGAGACGTCATAGGAACCACGATGCTTTACGCGGAAATATCCTAACTTGCTAAAAACTATTCAAATAGGGATCACATACCTCTCTGAACACAATTGAAACAAGCAACATGACCGCACGCAGACAGGAAGAACTTGATGTTGGGCATTGGGAAGGTGAAGCAGATCATACAATGGACAAATGTTGTCATTTCTAAGGTGGACGTTCCTGGAACAATCTAAATATTTAATATTATATGGAACTGAACAAAACAAAGATAGTACACAAGTCGGATAATTCGCGACAACTGAAGAAAAACTATGTTTGTTCAGCACAATTTCGAAAAATCCTTTCAAAACAAGCTAAGTATTAACCAATATAGCAGTTAACAATCTGAATAATGAAGAATTCGAATGCAGTTTGGCCCAGAAAGAAAAAAGATCCGATCTTTGTGGCCAAAAACCCTTGGCTATGCTGGACCGTCTGAAGACAGCGCGAACAATCTCGTCCTTGCGGATAGATGGACTCTGACACGCTTTCCTTGATCGGTGAGGCCTCATGTAGATCTATTCACTTCAGGGTTTCATACAGTACCATATCGGGCTCTAGAAATTTATATGCTGTATGAACTAAGAGATTGATCAACTGGGATTAAATGAGAGGTACTTGAATTTTACAACCATGTAGTACAATTTGTACTAACTTGGACACTTGGATGGTCTGTCCACAGGTCGTCCGGGCCGCAGCATAATCTCCCTGCCACAGGTCGTCCGTCACCACCACAGGCGGTTGTTGCCCTTACGGATCAGAGTGAGATTTACCACCATGAGACTAATTTGATAGTGGGACAGTGGTTGATCCTTGTATTGGTTCATTCTTAGCTAGGCTTCCTGATGGAAAAACCGGACTCTTTCTCAGCTTGGGTGACCCTGCCGGGGGTGAATACTCCCTGTTCATTGCGGCCAGAAACCCAGGAACACCTCCCAGCCACGATGAGGCGGCAAACCATTGGGAGGAGTAGAATGTGTAATTGGGAAAGGTCTGTTTCTCATTTCTTCTGTTTTCTGGAAAAAGTTCGTCGTGTTTTCCTTTCGTCCCGCACTAAATATTTGTTTTTAGAGAGATTTTTCCATAAAACGCTTGTGTTATAGTTGTTGATACTACTGGTCATAGTTGAGTTTTCCCAAGCTAGTCATTTGTATGGAAATTCCAGAGTTCAGATTTACCTCTGTCGTAATAGAAATTTTTATTTAGTTTGTAACCGAATCGGGTCTTCATAAGAGAAAGATGGCCACCGAACTCACTGGAATATTGTTTTCGTTCTTCATGAAAAGTGCGTTTTATTTTTAAAGCAGTTGTTTTTGCAAAGACAGACAACAGGCCTCTTGTATGATCGTTACAGTTATATTGCCGTTTCCTTTGATTTCGACTTTCTATGCTGTAGATAGCCAATATTCGTCATTTTGTGGAGAATGTTGTCTATCCTCTCGGTTCTTCACGGTCTCGTATCGCATCCTTTCCTACTCATTGACCCTTCTTCTTCTAAGGTTAGTCCTCTTTGGTTCGGACTCATCAGATGTGGGTTTTACTAAGAAGCCATTGCTGTTTCGATTTTATTCTAACGTGCGAGTTGGTTAAGGGAACTTACAGGACTTCATTTTGATTGACTCAAAGGAATAAAGATGACTACGACAGTACCAACACTTTGAATCTGTTAGTAAATGATGAATATTCAATAGTTGAGCTGAAAGGTGCCAGTTCGTGGTTTTCTACTGCGTCGTCAAGTTGGTTATGTTAATTCGTCACCACGAAAGAGCTCTTGTGGTATAGCGGTGATGTGACCCAAGTGATAGTCTTCACGACCGATTTTTTCTTAACTTCGGTATTGATCTTCATATCCTTATTTTCTTAGCGAACAGATATGAGATTACAATGTTAACTTTTTATTTCCTGCCTACTACAATTTTTCATGGTAGGGTGCTATGTGAAATACAGCCATAATAATGCCGAGATATTTGTAAAACTCCGGACTGCAGGTGTATGCGGTGGGGAACGAACGCGCTATTACCCTTTCTGGGTGCTAACGCGTTCACTACAACACCATGCAGGTCCTTAGTGAAAGGCGGTCCGGAGTTTTACAAATATCTCGGCATCGTTACGGTATAAATTATTTTTGGGATTTTTATTTTATTTTAGTTGGTGTTTCTGCGGATTTAGACTTTTTCACGGCCATTTTAGTCATCTACTTCGTAGATGAAGCGACGGATTCGCTCAGAGTTCACATGAAATTGGCCAAGGCTTCCTATGTTATTGAACATTGGACGTTTTGCTTTGAATGATTAAACAACTTTTGATCCCTTTTCCATCAGGCAAAAGTATTCTGTTACTCCCTGCCCCTTAATCTTCTTTGATGACTACGTGTAATACAATTGCTTCAGTGGATTATCCTGCTAGGTTCTTTGCTAGCCTTGTCCAAAACCCTTAGTGCTGTATAACCGACGAAACTACGTAACGTTCTGCTTACCAATGTTGGTTTGAACTGTTAAGTTTTACGACTGCCTGAAATTTTAAGATTGTGCATTGAATTTAGGCTGCAATGGCCTAATTCTTTATCACAACACGTTGTTTTTTATGATGCGAGAGTAGTTGCTCACTTTTGAATAGGAGATCTTTGAAAAGTAGTCTTCCGAGAAAAAACCTACACATTTGATCTTGCCTGGATATAGCTCGAATTTTCTATTTCCTGATCAGGTCATGTTTCTCAACTGCTGCCTAAGGTTGGTGAAACACTGGAATTCAACTGCATAAACGTCGAACTCGGAATGCCATGCAAAGGAACTTTCAGCCTTGGAAGGCACATTCCATCTTTTATTTTTGTTGATTCTAGTCAAGAAGTGTTTGGAATTTCAGTAGGAGGTGATTAAGAAAGACTACGGTAGTCAGCTCATCCACGTACTCATTAAGTACCGAAGCCTTGCCAATCTATACATAATTGCGGCTGCTCCCACTCATTCACTCTCCTTCAGATTTTAATTAGAAAACCTTCTGAGCGTTTTATTTGAAAGCATTACTGAAAAAGCTTGTACGTTCTGACAATATGACCATTTGTGTTTCTGCTGAAACGATTATATTCATATCAAACGATTACTGTACATGTCGGTTACTATTTCAGTGAGTTGTTCATTGGAAGCTAAAGGCTCTCGGCGTCGATCTATCTCTCAGGGTTGCGCCGTGCATTCAACTTCATTAAGCATCTTTGGAGGCGATTGAGTGCATATATGGCCGCTACAATGACTCGCAATAGCTTACCGATGTATCGAGCCAATGCTGCTATTCTCCCGGACAAGTCTGGTACTAATTTGGCGACCCCGAGAGATGGAAGGCTTGGTGAACCTGGGGCGCTGGAATCGATCATGTCTATATTGCAGGGCGCCTCTGACCACTGCGCCACATCTCGTTACATCGGTAAGCCAGTCATTGTAAAGGTCAGATATGCATTCAACCACCTCCAACGGTGCTTAATGAAGTCGAATACATGGCTCATCCCTCAAGGGTGATGAACACCAAGGGTTTTATCCTTTACCCTTTATGTAAATCCTCTTTGTTCGTTCCCAAATTAAAAGTGACCTTTACTAAACGGGATTTTAATTTTTGATTTTTAACTAAAAATATCGCATTACTGGAAAGCATGTTTTTATTCGAATATCAAAATAGATATCTCTTTTCTTTTTTCACTTCTCTTGAAATATCAATGGGAATATGAACATCTACGCGATTTCTAAAGTTGCCACTACGCGGAAGGTGCATGAAATATAGCACTAGCTATTGGGTTAGTCAGGGGAAGAAAACATTATCACCCAACGGACTTCTCGTCACTAAAGTTTCGTTATTGTAAGAATAATGATAACAAGCTCATGAAGACCTTTTTATCATTGATTAAATGCAGCGGTTAAAATCTGATCACTATACAATGATTGGGAACTTTGCTTCAGTACTGAATATCTTCGTGTCAGGATTCACAGGATAGTAGGCGTAAGTAAGCAAGGCAAAATATTACTCTGTAAGGTGAGCCAAGAGTTCTGTATGGGTTGTAAGGGTAACGAGAGAGATTGAGTTTCTGAAGTGTGTGCAATCCTTGTTCGTAAAAGAAACTTCTATTGATTCGAGTTTTAATGAATATATGACGATAGAGATCTAGTGAAACTTATTCCGTGCGACCAATGTTAATTTTAGTATTGTACTGAAGCATCGAATTTCTCTTCGAAGTCAGTGAAGTACAGTAAGGATGTACACATGCGAATCTAAAGCTCCTAGTAAATCCTTGTCGAATTATGATAGGGGTGAAATTCTGCGATGGCATTGATATTAGTGAGTACGGAACTTCACGGCTATTATTCACCTTTGATCATGAGCTCACTTTCACGAGCACTGTGTACCACACAAAGCTGCTCGAAGGTTATATTCAAGAAGATCAATATTTTAAAAAATCTGTATTTCTCTTGCCTCAAGAGACCCTCCACAGTGCTTGAGATAGAGGAGTACTGGTAGCGCACAAAGGGGATACAATGAGTGACAATCCGTAAAAACCACAGAGAGCTTCGTAATGCAAACGAAGAAGATCGTTTATTTCGCCGTTGGAGAAATAGACGGGAAGACGGTCACTACTTCTAAGAAATAGATGAACTTTTCCTCCTGACATACGATAGTGACGAAGTTTGTAGTACTGGAGTATTTTTCATTAGAAACGTTGCCACATGCCTATGATAGCAATACCATTTGCTTCGAACCCTTGGTGGTTGGCATAAGGCGGTGACGTTTGTAAAGCTGCGTAAGCTGTGATTTCGTTCTTGTGTTGTACTAGTCTTTGCGTGTGAAGGAACTTTACAAAAGAGAACGACGCATCAAAACATTTAGTGGCTATCTCAGTGGGTATTACTGTGAATAAAAGAAGGAAATTCGATGACTACTTAGAGAGTGACACTGAACAGGTAAGAAGATGTGCTCTATGACTTTGAGTATCAAGA